CCTGCCTGCCCCGGCCGCCCCTCTTGTACCTCGGGCTCCCCGGGGCCTGCATTTCCTCCTTCCCCCTGCCTGCTCGCCCCCTCCCCCATCACACACGTTTCCACCTTTAGCCGTCACCATGCTACTCCGCGGCCCGCCCTCTTTCCTCCCTCGCCATGGGTCTCCTCCCACCGACTTAGCCGCCAGGATTTTTTCCCGCCTGACGGAGCTAACCGCTCCCCCCCCTCTTCCACCCCCCTCCCCCCCGAATCTCTCCCGGATTTCTAACCTCTTAGGCTTAAAAATGCAAACGCACAGAATGCTTTTTACTAGGGTTTCCAAGGTTTGTTGGGTGCTTCTCCACCACCCCGAGACGGTGCGATTATTTAAAATGCTCTTGCTTTCAGGAAGGTGTAGGCTGTCCACCTCTCTTTCTCCCGCGTCGGCTTCAGGCCAGTGGTTTTTAGCATTTTCAGTAAGTTTCGCCATAGGACTCGTTCGTTCTGTCCACTTTACGCTGTCACCACGGCACGTTCATAATAGGCCCTGCATTTGTGCAATAGACAGACTGGGCCTGCGTTTGTGCTCTAGACAGATCCTGCTGGCGCGTTGGTCTGGCTCCCCGGGCTCCATTTAAGTCCTTCCTGGTCGATGGGGCCTGCACTTGACTGGAGCTCTTCTACCTCCTGCCTGCGGTTGCCCCTCCCCCACTCGCCAAGTTACTCTCCCTGTGCACCCTTTTCGCGCCCTCAGATGCTGGGTTGCCTATTTGTACAGATTGTAGTCTTTCCTTACTTACTCTGTGCAGCTTGAAATTTCCTCTTCCCGCCTTTTCAGTGCCCAGGAGCCTGTTTTGGTTCCTTCTCAGTCTCGCCCTCTTACTATTGTTGAAAGAAGCCCACTCGCCCTTTTAAAATACAATAAATTCTGTGTTGTTCAATGCGTTAATTTTTCAGGATTTTTTTCAAAGCTAATTTGATTCCTCTAGTTGAATTAACTTTTATATTGCCACCAAAAGCTGCTTTTAAAAGTGTGTTAAAATGCAGTCTTTGGGAGCTGAGTATCATACAGGAGGTTAGAAAGGCGGGTTCGATCTGGGGCCTTAGATTTTCATGTTCCCATTACAGATTGCTGATCTTGAGTTACCGTTTCGATACTTTTTATAATGGGGCTGTGCGTGTGCAACTTTTTTTTTTTTAAACTTTAAGAAGGAAAAAGTTTTGGTGGGAAGTAAAAAAAAGTCATTTAAACCTGGTATTAGAAAACGTGATTTCCATTAGTGGTTAAAAATATAAGATTTGTGGGATGTTGGGGCAGCAGAGAAGTACTTGGAATGTAGTTTTTAAAAAATCTCCGTTAAGATTGACACTCGAGTCAGCTACTGGTTGTACTGGCATTAGTGGGGAGTTGGGGGTGGAGGGGAAGTGAATTGAATAAAATAGAACTAATCTTGAGCAATAATGTGGCTTAGTTTTAGAAAGAAATAACTGTTAAATATTTGAAGAATTCAGTTTTTAACTTTTTAGGTTTTGCTTTCTGAATTCTGTTCTTTGGACAGAGGCACCAAAATGGTTAATTGTGTAACTGGGGCAGGCTTTTTATTACCACCATCCCCAAGTTTTGAAGTTACAAAGTAGCTTGCTGTCTTTGTAGTTATTTTTTGTTGAACTGACTTATAAATGAATTAGTTTTTAACCCTAACAATGTCAAAAACTAAAACTAGAATTTTGATTGGTTGCTGTACCGGTTGTTAATTCCCTAGCCATTCAAACTCCTCCCCACGACACACTGAAGCAGCGACGGCACAGCGGGAAGAATGGTAAAACTTTTACATTTTATTTCTGTCTTATAAAGATTTCAGTAGTCATAACATGCAGAGGCTCTGTAATTTAGTTGCCCATTGACTCCCAGGAGATTTGTAGACATTAATACGGTAGGATGAATCTTGTGCCTGGGATATAAAGCCTAAAGCCTTTCTAGATATCCTAAGTAATCTGTGGGCAAAATTGATGCCATTGCGTGGTATATGGTTTGTGGTAATGCATGATGTAATGACAATTTGGCCAACCTAAACTAAATGTAATTAGTAATTTTTCTTTTAAGTATGGGCAAGCAGAAAAGTTACTGTACTTTCACTTAGTTTTTATTAGGTGGAAATATTTTTGTTTAAAATTCTAAGCTTAATGCTAAATATAAAGGTTACTTGATAAAAATATTGTGTGTTGAAATGTCTTGCATGTTATACTGAAGTATTCTGTCAAGTAGACAGTTCTTTAAGTATTACTGTGCTTTATGCAAAGTCCTATTTCTCTTCACCAACAGTATAAACACTTAAAGCATTGTGTATGTACTACTCATAGGTGGGCTAAATGTGGCTTCCCACTACAGCTCTTACCAGATTTTTATTTTCAGTGTGATTGGCTGGAATGTTAATTACAGTTGGTTGACATGTGCTCACATTTGCATGACTTCCCTTTGGAGGCTGGTAGGTTGAGTATTCTTTTTCTCCCAATTCTCCCTCCTAAAATGTCAGTCTCTGCTGTTAGGGTCATACTGTGATTTTCCTGGGCTGTGTCTCACGGTTGGAGGCTAAAAAGCCATACACTGCCTTATGTCTGTATGTACAGACCATATCCATTATTTTGGAAATGTTTAAATTTTATATGGAATTTATTTTTTAACTATTCTCATCTACTGGTATTTGTCCAGTTTTAAGTTGGAGGTAAAGTAGACTAACAGACAAAGACTGGGTCTGAGTGCGACATAGTAAATCACAATGTTTGGATGAACCTTCTATTTTGTGCCTGCTAGGCACAGTTAGTTAACTAGGTAATAATGTCAAATTAAAATTAAACTGTAACTGTATTTGACTTCTGTTTGAACCTTACAAAATTGTAAATTGTTTGTAGTAAGTTGAATTGATCATGTTTTAGATTTGAAGGTCATTGTTTCACTGTTAAAAGAATGTCTTTGCCTCTCTGTTCAGTAGCAAATACTTGTAGAGCTTTCTGGGGTCATCTTGTGGAGGAAGTTTGATAACTTCTGTCAGTGTTACAGAACATCTCAGGTGATAGCCAGTTCTCCACTGGCAGACTTTGTGGAGTAGTAGGTTTTACAAAAGCAATTCTGCACTTGGAAGGCATTCTTACCCTCCAACACTTGTTTTGAAGACAGTCTCACTGTGTTGCCCAGGCTTTGGAGGTTCATTCTTCAGCCTCCCAAGTCTCTTGGACTAGAGGTGTGTTTTTAGCACTATGTGGCCAGGTTCCCCTCCTCTTTTCTTTCTCTAACTTGATTTGATAATTGCCCATTTATCCAACTTCACAGTTTGTTACAGATGCTAAACTTTCTGAAAAAAACAATGAAGATGCTTAAACATACTTTTTTGGTGTCCATGTGTGTACACCCTGTGTTTCTGTCTTCCTCACCAGTTTAGTAAGACAGTCTCCATAGTGAAGATGAGACTGGTTAGTAGACTAAAAATCATGGAAGTTAATTTCTTAAACACTTCTGTGTGTAGTTCCTGTTACAATGAGGTTTTTGTCCTGAAGTGCTGTTTTTGAGCCGAGGTCTGCATGCCTAGGCTGGCCTAATATTCTTATCTCCATCTCAAGTGTTGGGGGCTGTAGGTAGATGCCACTGTTCCTGCTTTTCCTCCTAAAATGTTTTTAAAGATGAACTTGTTATTTGACATGGTTATTTTTATTTATTTATTTATTTTTGCATACGAAAATGAATAGTTATTTTTAGAAGAGCATCCTTGTTTCAAGATTAATGGGGCTTGGCAACAGTGGTTCATTACAATAGTAAAATGGCTACCTGAGTTCACCTTTAAAATTGTTTTTGATGTTAGATTTGTTTATTTGTATGTTAGTGCTATGTGAAGATCAAAGGACACTGGTGAGAGTCCTTATTCTGTAATGTGGGTCCTGGGGATTGAACTCTGGTCTCAGGCACAGCAGCAAGTGCCTTCTTTATCTGTGGAGCCATCTTGCTGGCCACTTTAATATCTACAACTTTGAGATCCCTATTTTTTTGTATTATAAATTTCTCATTGTGCTTTGCAGTGTGTAATCAATCTGCAATGTTTCAGTTCTTTGGGGTAGATAGTGTCTGGTGAAACGTGCATGCCATGTTGTAAGCTTTGGGGAAGTTTCAAAATGTAAAAAATATTGGAAACCTAGACTACTATAGACAATTTCACCAGATTAGATACATGAAATCATCCCACATCCCAACCCCCGCCTCCAGAATGTGGTTGAGTGGGAAGCAGAAGAGTTCCATTGAGTTGTCAGTATAAGACTGTCCAGGGCGGTGTCAGAGTTGGTCCTGTAACCGTTAGTGTAGAAGGTCAAGTGTGATTCTTGTTTAGAGATGGCTAGTTTTCTCCTGTTTGAGAAGGGGCTCACACATGTTTCTGTTTAAAATATTGGAGAGTATATTAGAAACGCCAATGTTTCTGGAACAGTTTAAACATTGCTTTGAAAAACAGTACTTTTAGAGGGTTCTCATGCCAAATTTATTGGCCTTTCGATTTATTAAGATTGGGTTTACAGGCCTAGATTGTCAGTCGATGGGTCTTCACGTTTACTTCCTTTGGAACCTTTGCAGGCGTAAAATCGTAGAGGCTAAAGCTCCAGATTTAGGGGGAGGAGCAGTCTGTGTTTTCTCTGTCCATGACGGAGATGGAAGCCAGGGCCTTGTACACGTGTGGGCAGATGGTCTGTTCCTGAGCCATACTCCCATCTAGGAGTACTAGGTTCCAGTTGTCATCTGTTATGAGAGATGTGGAATATATAGTCCTAGGATTAAACTGGATTATCATTTAAAATTTCAGTACTTTGTTTTCAAGACAGGCTCTCACTTTTTTAGCCCAGGCTGGTCTAGAAATTACAAAAATCCTCATACTCAGCCTCCCAGGATCTGAGATAATAAGCATGACATGTACCTCTTGGCAAATGCTTATTTTTGAGACAATGCCTTAAACTTGGACGAGTTCTTGAGCTTAAGTGACACTTTATATAAATACATATATATAGTCTCAATAATTTAGCCTGGGTAGTCTGAGGTATGCAAGACATCTCATGTATATCTGTAGTTCGGTAGATATATGTATGTATGTACCTCAGAGTCTGTTTCGCTATGACCTAAGGCCACCAGGAAAGCTAACTAATCATCTTTAGCTTTGGGTGATGTTAGAAGCCATGCTTGAGAACATAAAACAATGACTTTCCTATTTAACTTATGGCTGTATGCTTCGAATGTGCATGTTAACAAATGGAGTAACACAGAACCGGTTAGTTTGATTTCACTGTAGTTGTGCTTCAGTATTATAGTAGATAGGACACTCAACTGGATGCAGGAAGCCTGGGATTTGTTTCTGTTACTTCCAACAGTGTGGTCTCAGGTAATAGAACACGTTTTTACTTGGTTCTCTGATCTATTTACTGGAAACAATGCTCGCCGTAGGAAGACTGACTTGACTGCACAGCCTACTTTCATGTCTGTGTGTATTTATCCATTGCTCTAATAGTTGCTACTGCCAGTGATTTACTCCTGTGGAGTAAAGGTAAGCATATTTTGGTTTCTGGGCTGTTAAAATAGTATGTTCATACCTGTGTACTTGAGAGTATTTTAGGGTGGGGGAAGACTTCATACTGGCGTATTTGTCCAGTAGTCATAGTGATAGCTTAAAGTATTAGATTCTAGACTCAAATACTTACATTTGGCCAACAAAATGAATGAATGAGCAAATAAATAAATGGGTCAGGAAACCCACCTTCTATCTCCACTGTAGTCTTAAGAGGCAAGGGAAAGTGTCAGCAAACACAGTGAAAAAGTGACCAGTAAACATTAATGTCTTGGAAATGAGTTTGGCTTTTCATTGCATTAAAAAGAATGTGATTCTGAAAGATGGGTGGGGGTTGGAGATTTGCTTGGTGACGGAACACGTACCTACAGTCCTGGGTTAAGAAAAGGAAACATCCATTTCTGTTTAGTTAGTGTTATCTAAATTGACCTAATAGAAAACTGTGAATAGGTAGTGATCTCAGTTAACCCAAACCTTAACCTCTAGGTTAAGGAGACACCAGTCTTTAACTTCTAGGTAAGTGAAAGTTTACTTTCTAAGGTTGGAGTTTATTTAGAACTTTGAACAGCATGGTAGAAATACTGGGTTAAGAATTTAAGGTTTATTTTTAAAAGCTGTCATATTTAATTTAGATGTTATACCTGCCTTCCTTTCTTCCACTTTATGTTTTTGACACAGGATCTTACTCTGTAGCCTTTGCTGGCATGGAACTCCCATAGATCCACCTGCCTCTGCCTCCTGATTGCTGGGAAGATGTTTTCAGTCTAGTTATCTTTTTTATGGTGGTTGATTTGTGGTTCTTTTGGAGTAATGAGATTTAATGTAAAAGAGTTTAAAATCTTTCTTTGAAATGTGTGCTTTTTTATGTGTTAGTCTTTAATAATAGGATCCTTTTTCACACTTAGCTTTAAAATACCATAATAGAAAATGTAGGGAGGAAATGTCTGTTTAATAATGGGCAGATAATACTTGCATGTAGGTTTTACTGAATAAAGTTTTCTTGGCTGGCTAACTTTAATACAGTTTTAAGTAGTTAAAAAGTAGTTCTCAAGTACCGTAAACCACATGAGATATAAGTCTTGTTACTGTTAAAGGTATGTCAGGGTGTTTTCAAGGGTAGTTGATATAGATTGTAAAGTTACTCCCTACCAAGTGGTAGTTAGTTCCCCAGAGTTAAAAATAATTTCTAAAGAAAATGCTCTTTAATACCTACCAGTGAGATTTTGTTAGCGTTTATCATGGTAGTGTTTTAAAAGTTGAGCTTTAATGATAGACTACCAGAAGAATAATGTAAATAAGTGTGCTTGAATAACATTACTATAAAGGGTGCCAGTGAATGGGGCAGTTATGGTTGAAAAATGTATCAAGCTAACACTTGGTATGAGTTTTTTGTGTAAGATAATGAATTGTTGGAGGGGTTTAAACATTGTTTTACCTCAAAAGTGGGAGCAAAAGAATTGATAGGGAAAAAGCATCTTTAAATAAAATATTTATTGAGTTTGGAGTGTTAAATTAGTGATCTCCATGGTCCAGGGAAAATTAGCTTTATGTACTGGGGAGAGGATGAGGGTGTTATTTATTTATTTATATTCTAGATAGAGTCAAACAATAGCTCAGGTTATTGATCCTCCTGCCTCAGTTTCCTAAGTGTTAGGATTATAGTCATGGACCACCATACCCTGGTAATTGGGATTAGCAAGGCATTTTCTATCAGGTATCAAGTGCTTGTAAGGTATTGCCTTTTATGCTTTTAATTACTTAAAAAAATAATGGCATATATGTAGGGTAGAGCTGAATTACTGAGAGGACTTAGAAGCTACATTTATAACAGCCACTTCTACCAGAGGATCCAAGTCAGGTGGTCACTACTGCCTGTAACTCCAGCTCCAGGGGCACCTGCAGTCGCATGCATAGAACACACACACACACTTTTGGTGTTTTTGTTTTTTGAGGAGGGACTTCTCTATGTAGCTTTGGAGTCTGTTCTGGAACTTACTCTGTAGACCAGGCTGGCCAGGAACTCAGACATCTGCCTGCCTCTTGATGCCTGAATATTGGGATTAAAGGCGTGCTTCACCGCTTCCTGGCTCACAGTTTTTCTTAAAGGAAAGTTGACATAATTTTCAGGCTGTGTTTCTTATTCTGGGTATTTAAATATTTTATAGGGTGTTTTAGAACTTCACCCTTGAACATAGATGATCTTATATAAACTTTTATCATGTTTTTTCCCCTTTAGTGTTAGAATTTATGAAGCCACCATTTGAAAAGGAAAGCAAGTTAATGGAAAAGTTTTAAGTTATGTTTAGATTGTTTTGCCTCTAAAAATAACTTTTCATTGAAGAATTAAAATACATTCTTTTATATTAACGCAGTTTTTATTACTGACTGCAGATAACATTTAGACGTCATCACTCTAACCTCTTTTGGGCTGTGTAGTTAGTAGGTGGCAGAACTGGTACATAAAGCCAGGCAGCTGGCTGGCTCGCTCACCTGAGGACAAAGCACTAATGCCCCCCACCCAGCAGTCTGCGTTTCTGCGGGACCAGCCCTGCAGAGCTGAGAAGGAGGCAGTTGGGGAGTCAGTCGTCTGCACTAAGTGTGTAACTGTGCTTGACACCGGCTTTGCTGTCAGCAGCTGTGAAAGCACTTCCATTATTCTGTAACTGTAAAAGAGGACTGTGTTTCCTTTGGCCACTGAAACACTTGGTTTATAAGTAGGATTAAGAAGTGAAACTTTGTCAGTCAGCTCTGGGGAGGCTGAGGCAGGAAAAGGGCTACAAGTTTGAGGTCAGGTAGGATTACGTGAGACCTCTAAAAAAATGGAGTAGGGGGTACAGATGACCTTTGTAGATCAAGTTCTTTAATTGGGATTGTAAATTAAGTTCTTTAATTGGGATTATTGGTTCGCTTACAGCTTAAGGACCACATTTTAAATTTAGGTGACAGCATTCGGAGTCCATTTGTTGCTACTTGAACAGTTCTCATGCTTAGAAACTTCCAAGTTCTGTCGCCTTACTGAAAGGTGTTTACATCTTTGCAGGAGTTAATAGCAACTTGAGAAGAAACCTTTCGTGTCAGGCTCCTTATTGGACAGACAGTAGGTATAAAGGAGTCCAAATTAGTGTTAATCTCAAGCCATCTCAGAATTTGGGGAAGTTAGGCCAGTGTTCTAGAGAGCATCCAATAGGTGCCTACTTGTCCATAAAGGTTAGCAGAAATCCTTCCACTAGGCTTCATACTATATCATTAAACAGTGTGCCTACAGAATAAAAATGGGGTGGACTTCATATTTCCTGTTTAGTAAAGATAGAATACAGTTGTGTTTGTTGTAATGTATTGGGTTTTCTAGTTACCCGTTCAGCTTTTCTTAAAGCAGAAGAAAAATCCTGAGTGCTTTTGTGCTACCAGAATACTAATACCTTTGTCATAAGCAGTTGTAGTTCACTGAAGATTTGGAAAACTTGACACTTGGACCCTTTACTTACAGCATGGAAGGGAGATATTCACTATAGAACAAGTAATTGCTTGTTGGCATGAATTGCTGGCAAAAGTGAAAGAAAATGTGTTCTAAAAGCTAAGCAAGTGAGATACACCTGATGTACTAGTTAAGTAGCTTATTTCAGAGAAAATGAACATAGCTTAGTAGAGATGGCAGACCCTACTGTTAACATCGTGGCTGCTGTATTGAAGGCGGCACGGCTGGGGTTTGTAGAAGACTGTATCGTTCCTTGAAGCCAATTGTGGCAGCTCCACCAGCGGTGGAGGCTGGAGAATTGCCACCAATTTGAAGCCGGCTTGAGTTGTAGTGTAAGACCTCGTCACAAATAGAGTTTAAAAAAAAATTAAAGTTGACCAGAATACTTAATATCTGGATAAAGGGGATTTGTTTATAGAAGAGTGTTCACAGTGAACATTTTTAGCTCTGGTAAGGGTACGGAGGGTTTTTGTTTGATTTTTATGTTCGAACTTCCTTTGGTCAGTTGATAAGTTGGTATGCATATCTAATATTTCAGAAAATTAATTTCCCATCAAAAACAATTATGTGGTTTAAAAATAGTAGATGCCTTATTCTATGTGTCATTTTTTCCCCCAAGAGGTTTATTTATTTAATGTGTACTGGTGTTTTTCCTGTATATACTTTGTGTGAGGGTGTCAGATCTCCTGGAATTGGAGTTACAGACAGTTGTGAGCTGCCATGTGGGTGCTGGAAATTCAACCCTGGAAGAACAGCCCATGCTAAGCCATCTCTCCAGCCCTCTTGTTATTTTTATTAGGAAGTATATGTAACAATTTTAAATTGAGGATATTTCCCCTATACATTGCTTTCATGAAATAAAAGCAAGTTCTGTCTTGATACTTGGTTAATGGACTAGACAATTTTCTTGTTCAAGTTTGCCCTATACAGTGTCTTTTACTATAACTTTAGTTTGGTTAGACTGAAATAATTTTAAATTCAGTTATTCATGGGGAAATTCTGTAATCACAGAAATGGTTACTAGTTAGTTAAATCTAGCTGAATTTGTTTGTGTTCTAGGACTTAATAATGGATATCTAAGCAAGAGGCCATTGCTTTGTAGTCAATATCCTTGTCTTTAAAAACTAGCATGTGCCTCACCTTGAAAGGTGAATGTTGGTAATGAAATTTTCATTTATGAAAGTAGTAATCTGGACCTGTAGGTAAAAAAAATACTGTGTGTATAGCAGTGGTTATTGAAATAAGGGATATATATTAGGAGTTGGCACTATTCAATTGAAAGAAATGTGTGCTGAGAAATTTTTAATTTTCCATGGAATTGGCAATAAACAGACATTTAAAATGTACATAATGGAGTTTGGTTATATTCATTTGATTATAACATTACTAAAGGGTTCTAAGTTTTACTTCAGGACTTGACACTTTGAGGGAGTCTTGAAAATTGGGGCCTGCTCTGTTATATTCTGGGTTTAAAACCTAACTTTAAATGGAAAGAGTTCAATGTCACCTAAAGTTTATTTGTACTAAAAGTTAGCTTTGTTAGCATTAATTTAAACAAACTTGTGGTAAGAATTGATCAGTGACAACACTTAGTAAAACGGACGCCTTAGAGGTGAGGATCAAGTGAGCATCTTACTGCCAGAATGGGCTGTAGTGGCAGTCTCTTAAAAGCCTACCAAGGGAGATGAGATGTTGTAATGTCTTTGCAGTGCTGAAAGCGGGTGCCTTATCTTCCCCCATCCCTTTTCATGACCCCCACCCCCATAACCCCAGTTATGAAGATGAGACAATATTGAGCAAGCATGGTTCCATCTCTGAAGTAGAAAATTTTAGCCTTATAGGACTAATTTTAACAATTTACTACGACTGTTTCCAGTTTGACTTGTAAAGGGTAAAAAGTACAGGTTTGCTTTTATAATTACTGCTATTAACTTACTGGGAAAACAAGCAGATGTAGAAAGGACCACAACTGCTGCCAGGACTGCTTTTTGGCATTTTGCTGTATGTTGAGACTAATTTGTTCTTCTATATGATCTTTTCTTGGGTGTATTCCACTTAACTATTTTACAGGCCTAAGCGGTTCATAACTTGCTAGCTGAGGCTCTACTGTAGGTAATCATCTAAGTTAGTGAGCTGTGATTTGGTGGGCAATTCTTTCTTTATGCTGTTTATATGATTACTTTGGTCCTTTTTAAGGACTCTTAGAAGTGAAAAAAGTTAGTTCAGTTTGGAGGACTTAGCATTTTTCCATTGCATGTGCTATAAATTCTGCAGATGGAAGAACTATTAAAAGTAGAAAAGGAGTCTCAGCATAGACAGCATGCTGGGGGCTGCCACACTGGAGACTGAACAATAGCCCTTGACATGGTTAATGAAGATTTATTAGAATCTAGAAGCTAAGATTTTACCTTTTACAAAACTGCAGTACTTTTACTTGGCATGCGTACGGATATTTGTAAATACCAGCAATTTGCTTGCTCAGTATTGTGGTTGATCAGAAGGAGCAGTGCTAAGTGGGACTTTAAACAGTAGGGTTTTTTTGATATGTGCTGTGTAGGAAGAAGAACATTAAATTGTACTAAATAAATGTTTGAAAAACGTGTTTCTAATGTGAGTAAATGTAAGAGAAGGTTTAATTTCTTTCTTAGCATTTTAATACTGCTTTTTGTCTTTACAGGAAAATGTTTATAGGAGGCCTTAGCTGGGACACTACAAAGAAAGATCTGAAGGACTACTTTTCCAAATTTGGTGAAGTTGTAGACTGCACTCTGAAGTTAGATCCTATCACAGGGCGATCAAGGGGTTTTGGCTTTGTGCTATTTAAAGAGTCGGAGAGTGTAGATAAGGTAGTGTGCTATATATTCTGATTAATGAAACGTGGAGAGTTTGATAGAGTAAACTTGTGTTGCTTGTGGGTTCCTTTTTGTAAGAAAGAAGAGACACATTTCTTACATCTTCCTGTTGTTTGAAACAAGGTTCCATATGTCTTAGGCTGGCCTCAAGCTGCTTACATAGCTGAGGATTACCTTGAACCTTCTGCCTCTACCTTCCAAGTGCTGGGACAGCAGAGGTGCATTAACACATCCTGTTTTTTGAAGGGAGAGGCAGATTTAGGAATTATTTACTGAATACTTTCCATGTGCCAGCCTTTCTAAATTAAAAGTTACTTTAAAAACAACTGAGGCTTGGCTGAGGGATAGTTGGTGCTTAGTAAGTACATGGTCTATGTTCAGTCTCAGTAGGCTTTTCCAAAAGGGTAGAGGGGGATTTTAAAAGCCTAATTAAAAAGATAAAGTATGACAAGTTGGCAGAAAGTGCCTATTTTACATTTTTGTTAGACAAGCAGTTTGTCTCACTTACCCCTGAGTCTATGAATAGAGTACTTCCCTCAGACAAGCAAATGTCTACATGACAATTAACTTTTAATTCAGTCATTGTTTTGGTTCTGCACTGAGGGGAAGTAGCAACCATTGTTGATTTTATCAGTTAAAAGTGATGGTTGCCTAGTAATCAGTTCAACTGGTGTGGTACCCCTCCCCTGCGCCCCATCATTCTTAGTGACTTTTGTACTTGGGCACTAGTCTATAGTAGCTGATATCCTATCACTCCATGGCTTGACAGTCTTAAACCAGTTGACGTAATGTTGGCATTAGGTGCATTGTGTAATGATTTCTTAAGTAATTTATTTCTGAACATCAGTTAAGTTTTACATATTAAAGTGAAAAACTTCATTTCCTTAGGTCATGGATCAGAAAGAACATAAATTGAATGGGAAAGTCATTGATCCTAAAAGGGCCAAAGCCATGAAAACAAAAGAGCCCGTCAAAAAAATTTTTGTTGGTGGCCTTTCTCCAGATACACCCGAAGAGAAAATAAGAGAGTACTTTGGTGGTTTTGGTGAGGTATGTGTGTTTTGATCCAGTTTATGTCAAAATTAGTGTGTGATTGCACATTAATTGGACTTGGCAAGTATGTATTTCAGAGTTGCAAAATTTTTTGGTAATAAGGATACTGATAGGAGCAGATCTGAAGATTTAGGTAGTTTTTATTTGTTGAGCATGTACATATGTAAAGTACTAGACACGTAGATGAAATAGTCAAACCTCCCTGCTCCCAAAAGAAGGGTCTTGTTAGGTAACCCAGGCTGTCCTCGAACTTTTTCTTTGTTATTCTTCAACTCCTGAACTTAAGTCACCTTCCTGCCTTTGTCCCACATAGATTATAGGAATGAGTGGCTGTACAGCATGTTTAACTCGAAAAATTGAGAAGAAAAGTATAGGCAGCCTGAGGAGGAAGTCAAGATTGAGTGACCTAAAATATAGAAGGAGACGTTTAAGAATAGGAGAGTCATAAGAGCAGAGTAGTATAATAGCTTACCAGCTTAAATATGTCTAAGTGCTAATTTAATGAGACTACAGACTTAGTGAAATGGTGAGCTACCAGTTCCTTTCATGAATTAATAATTAAAGCTAAGCTGAGATGTTTGTGGCCTTGGTCTCCCAAGGACAGCATGCTGACATCTCTTACTTGATTCAAATAAGAATACATGCTTTTGTGTTAGGACTAAAAATGGCATGCCTAATACTCAAATATTATACACAAAAATCTGGGTATGTAGATTTTCTTTTGTGATTGTAGGAGCAAGCAGAAATGGAGCTGCTACTGCCCACCTGTATAGCAGCAGCCACCGTGTTCTCCAGTGTGCAGTGCTGTTCCTACATCACAACTTTGTTCTCAAATGCAGATTCTCTCTTGCTTCTTTTAAAATTACTATTGTCTCATTTTGTTCTTGTGGGGCTCTGGGTTTGTGAGTTAGGTAGAAATACTGATAAACCACTGAAGATTAGAAAAATGGGGGGACAGCAGAATGGGCTTGAATGCAATGTGTTTTCTTTGTGCCACCCTGCCCTACTGTGTAATTTGTAATTGGTGACAACAGAGCACAAACTAGAGCAATAAGTCTTTGTGTTTTGCTATCAGGTTGAATCCATAGAGCTCCCCATGGACAACAAGACCAATAAGAGGCGTGGATTCTGTTTTATTACCTTTAAGGAAGAGGAACCAGTGAAGAAGATAATGGAAAAGAAATACCACAATGTTGGTCTTAGTAAAGTAAGTTAAAGCAACCATTGAGTGGCTTAGAAAATCTTGTTAGAGTGTACTGTTTGGCTTTAGGATTCAAGTTGCTTGCTTATACTTCCTGTCTATTGGTTTCTTAGGAAGTCAACAGTGAACTCTACTTTTATTGGTGAGCAGTAGGGATTTGTGTGTTAAATGTATTTTGATTATTTAGTTTGGTTTTTTGAGACAGTTTCTCTGTGTAGCCCTGGCAATCCTGGAACTTGCTCTGTAGGCCAAAGTGGCCCTGAACTCAGAGACCCGCCTGCCCCTGCCTCCCACATGCTGGGATAAAAGGTGCGTGCTACTACCGGCATTAAAATGTATTTTTATGTAAGCTTTTACCAAATAATTTTTAGGACCCAACAAAACAAGTACTAGATCTTTAGCAAGCACCTCTTTGATCACATCAGGAGTGAGAATTCCCTCTGAGTTACAATGATTAACCACTGTGGAAGGAAGGACCAAGTTAAGCAGCTTAGTTTAAACAGTATCGACTGTTCGATGACTACAGACTTGTCAGCAACTTCATTTTCTTGAACCAATATAATACTTTGATTTTTCTCCTTTTAGTGTGAAATAAAAGTAGCCATGTCGAAGGAGCAGTATCAGCAACAGCAGCAGTGGGGGTCTAGAGGAGGGTTTGCAGGAAGAGCTCGTGGAAGAGGTGGTGGTAAGCCAGAGCCTAAGTTTCCTCTATCTCAAGCTTTTCTGCTTTTACTTATCCTGAAGTAAAGATCTTTGCTGATCTGACTTTAGTGAACCTATTAATGTGCTGCAGGCCCCAGTCAAAACTGGAACCAGGGATATAGTAACTATTGGAATCAAGGCTATGGCAACTATGGATATAACAGCCAAGGTTACGGTGGTTATGGAGGATATGACTACACTGGTTACAACAACTACTATGGATATGGTGATTATAGCAGTAAGTACTATACTTTTTATATTAACTGCTATTTGACATTTATTCTGTGCAAATTTGGATAGGTAGGAAAGTTAGTGTAGCTTTGCCAAGGGCAAACTTCAGGTTACAAATTCCTGGAAAGTAAACTGCAGCCATTTTATTGCTAGGTTCCTCCCAGCCTCTGTCACATGTACACTGTAAGGGTAGGGTGCATG